TTGATATTTATAGAAAAAAAAAACTAAAAAAATTGAAAACTGAAAATGTCCATTAACAGCTCAAAAAGAGTCAAAATATTTTCAAAATTGTACGGTGTATAGGAAATACTAATATAAACATTCAGTGAAATTTTCATGTATCTACAGTTATTCGTTTTTGAATTACAACAAAATAAGGAAATCGCTACATGAGAAATCGAGTGAACATCCAATGTTGTAAAAATTTGAATTTCAAACGCTCATAAAAATTTAATTTGACTTTCCGGTAGGGATTTTTTTATTGATAAAGGTAGGTAATCTTATAAGGCGGTGAACCACGATTGCGCCCAGCTTACCTTTTTCCATTCAAAAAACGCAATACGATTGCGCTCGACCAATTAGCACTGTCGCGGCAGTCTATAACCTTTTTTACCTGCATAAAACGCAACACGATTGCGCTCTAATATATATATGTGTTTGTCCCGTATATGTATATGTTATATAACAATTTTCTAGTACACTATTTAAAAATACAGTCGGACTTGGTTTTCCTTGGTTTGTGCCACAAAATTGTAATTTATACATTTGTATTATTTTTATTCTTATTATTATTATGATTAAAAAAATATTTAATTAGACATTTTTAATTAAAAAGAAATATCTATGCTAGAGCTACTATTAAAGTATTATTATTAAAAAAAAAAAAAAAATTGTAACTCAAAATTTTTAACCAAGCCAACAATTTAATTTTGTTGTCAGTCCTAAGCCTGTAAAATTGGGAATCTTGTATCACATTTTAAAATCTTAGATTTAAAAAGAAAAATTTTTACGAATTCTTAACTCAAAATAATTTGCTAATTTTCGTGATTTTTCCATATTTTGTCAATTTTAGATTCTGAGCGGAGCGATGAATGTATTGCTTTTACAATGATGTGTGTTTTTATATTTTTTATTTTTTTTTGTGTCTGTTCAAAAATAAACACAGAATAGTGAATAAAATATACCATACAGCGGTGACGGCCCACAGTGGTTTGAAAGTGAAAATTACGCGGTCTAATTAACTATTCTTAAATTTAGAAAACTCAATTTTTTTTTACACATCTTTATATCCTCCTACTGAATTGAAACAGGTTCTGAGGTCTATAAAAATGTTTTTAACCAAAGTTATAACCGTTGAAATGCGATAAATTGTTATTATATTAGGTAGTAATTTTTTTTGAATTTATAAGAAAGATAACTATTTATTTTATTTTTCTAGTCTAACAATATTCTTTCAGATTCTGAGTGAAACGATGAATGTATTGATTTTACAATGATATGCGCAGTAGTTTTCACAAGCGCCGGGAAAAACAACATAAAAATTAAGGAAAAACGGGAATTTTTACGCAAAATTGGTTTTCCAAAAAATCGATTTTGGTTATTGGTGTAACTTTAAAACAAATGAACGTATATATATGAAATTTTCACTGGTTGTTTATATATGCATTTTCTATACACGATAACATTTTCAAAATATTTTGATTTATTTTGAACTGTTTAGGGACATTTTCATTTTCCATTTTTTTTTTAGTTTTTTTTCTAAAAATATCAATAAAATTTTATTTGTTGGTTGCAAAAGCTTGAAAAATTAATAGAAGGCTCCTAATATATTGTTTCAAAGGCAGATGAAAAATATTAAAAATCTTTAGTCACAGTTTTTTTTTATAAGCATTTATAGCATTTTTTTTTCATAAATTGTAAAAATATGGAAAAATCACGAAAATTAGCGAATTATTTTGAGTTAAGAATTCGTAAAAATTTTTCTTTTTAAATCTAAGATTTGAAAATGTAATACAAGATTACTCATAAGTTTGTGGGTAACATTAAGGTTTTAAACTTGCGTTTTCAATGTCTAAAAAATAATGTTACTATTATAAGTTGGAATATAGTACCTATGTAAAAACTAAATTATACTAAATTTCAGGTTTCAATTAACTAGCCAACTAGGTGAGTATATAATATAATTATTTTATAATTAGTATAAATCATAATACTCTATATTATATAGATTTAATTTTCATTATTGTTTTTGAAAAATAAATTAAATTTTAAATATAATACTATTAATACCAGTTGGTACTAAATTTTGTGTATTTTAAATAATTACAATACAGTTAAATATTAATTTCTGTAAAAACAAATTATTTAAATTTTTGTATTTATCACTAGGTACTGTCAGCATCTCTTGTTGTACAAGTAATGCATTGACGTCATCGGAAATACAAAAATATTGTAAAGGAAGTTCTCGAGTACCGAAAAACATTGTTTTCAGTCACTTGCGTTTTCAATGTATAAAAATATTATTGTTCAAATATTACCCTATTATTAATATATAGATATTTTTTTAAGTATTTGCTATAGTTACTGCAGTACTTTTCATTCAAGTTTATCCTATTGGTGTTAAGAATATTGATACAAAAACATTTTTTTTTTTTAGAATCTGAATGTGAACACTGTTGGTTCTATCCATGCCCGAGAGAATTTTCTGATTTGTGATTTTAGTTTACTTAATTCGCTTAATTTACATATGCCTACTTATTCTAATTTATATGCCACCATGGAATATGAACTAACCCTATCGGTAATTCAGGTTAATAGTGAACGAGTGATTATAGCAAATTAAAAATTATCAAAAATCGATTTTACAATGATGTGTGTTTTTTTTGTGTCTGTGTACACGATAAGTAGTCGACATAATGCTTCGATTTTCGACATCAGTATCTTGTTCGATTGGAGAGTGAATATCGTTGGTGCATTGGGGAGGTCAAAATTTAAAATTCCCAATAGTTTTCACAAGCGCCGGGAAAAACAACATAAAAATTAAGGAAAAACGGGAATTTTTACGCAAAATAGGTTTTTGACAAAATCGAATTTGGTTTTTGGTGTAACTTTAAAACAAATGACTGTAGGAACATGAAATTTTGACTGGTTTTTTATATTTGCCTTTTCTATACACGATAACATTTTCAAAATATTTTGATTTATTATGAACTGTTTAGGGATATTTTCATTTTCCATTTTTTTTTAGTTTTTTTTCTAAAAATATCAATAAAACTTTGTTTGTTGAGTAGAAATACTTGAAAATTTAATACAAGGTTCCTACTATATTGTTTCAAAGGCAGATGAAAAATATTAAAAATCGTTAGTCACAGTTTTTTTTTATAAGCATTTAAAGTTCAAAAATTGACAAATCACGAAAATTAGCAAATTATTTTGAGTTAAGAATTCGTAAAAATTTTTCTTTTTAAATCTAAGATTTGAAAATGTAATACAAGATTACTCATAAGTTTGTCTACCTTTATCAATAAAAAAATCTCTACCGGACAGTCAAATTAAATTTTTATGAGCGTTTGAAATTCAAATTTTTACAACATTGGATGTTCACTCGATTTCTCATGTAGCGATTTCCTTATTTTATTGTTATTCATAAACGAATAACTATAGATACATGAAAATTTCACTGAATGATTGTATAAGCATTTCCTATACACCATACAATTTTGAAAATATTTTGACTCTTTTTGAGCTGTTTACGGATATTTTCATTTTAAAATTTTTTTAGTTTTTTTTTCTATGAATATCAATAAAGTTTTATCTGTTGGGCCAAAAAGTGTAAAAATTTAATACAAGGCTCCTGATATATTGTTACAATATCAGTTGAAAAATATTAAAAATACATAGGCACAATTTTTTTTTATAAGCATTTAAACATCGAATTTTGACAGAATTCTTCAAAATCTCGAAATTTATTAATCATCGTAATTAATAAATTATAAAATGTTCAGTTTTTATAGCTAAGGATTGAAAATTTTAAACAAGATTTTTTTTAATACCATAGATATGTATATAATTTGTCTTAAACCTAGACTGACATACCGTCTTCGCTCAGAATAGTTTTTCTTATACAATGATATTGAATCATTGAATTCAAATTTAATAGCATCCATTATACAGTGACCCACTTGTAACCTACTGTACAGCAGAGCGACATCCACTTACCCACATTTTTTTTATTAATGTCTGAAGAAAAAGATATATTGAATAATTTGGAGTTTGAAGATATTTTGGACATTATTAAAAACTCATATTATCATACTTTATCTAAATTATTATAGTACCTTCACAAATTAGATAAATATATGATTATAAGATTTAATTTATTTTTGTTAAACACTCATACTGCTATATACTTAGGGCCTTATCATAGTCGATGCTTAAGAATAATTATTGCTTAAGCTATACCTATGACTCAAATGAGATTCATAAACGAAACTTTGGCTATAGAAAAGAAAAAGTATTACTTAAATTAAGGTTGGTCAAGACCTACCTTAAGCATAGCTATAGTTTAATCACATTTTTTTTATTTTTTAAATTATCAAAATTATCTTAAGTATTACTTATTCTTAAGCATCCACTATGAATACGACCCTTAGTGTTGCTGTTTTATACCTATGTATTGATATATTTCAAATTTTCTTTGTAATCAACATAGAAAAAGTTCTTAAATCCTAATTCTTGTACTACTATAGGTACTATTGAGGAAAATTTTTTAACTAAAAATAAAATCACCTTAGATAAAAGAAATTTTCACTGAATGCTTGTGTACTGTTATCCATAAAATGTTTGAACTATCTATAGGCATAAGAAAATGTCTATTGTAGTTTTATTTTTAATTATTATTAATTAAATATCAATCCTACTATTATAAGATCTAAATTAGCTCTGTAATTCAAAGTTTCGATACATCAAATTTTTTTTTCGGTCCCTTAAGACAGAGATACCGAGGTTTTACTGTATTGAATTAATTGAGAAAGTTGTTAGATGATTTTCTTGAAACACATTATAAACATTTCAGTTCTTTTTCACTTATGAATAAACAAAAAAAATTACAATATGAATATATTATAAAAAATTTTCAAAATGAAATGCATAATTACATACTCTATTTACATAACACAATATATAAATAATATGATTTAATACTATATTTCTAAGTCATCGTCCGGATCTTCTTCATCCCAGTCATCTGCTTCATCTGGAACATAATGAATCATTCCACCAGTATTGGATGGAATTTGCACTCTGAAAAAATAATAAATTATAAATAATTAAAATACAATTTTAATTACATTATGCATATAACATACAGAGTATATGGTAAAATTAATTCTTCCTTGGCTTTCTTCTCACTGTCTTGTAAATCTAATTGAAAACTAGCTAAATTTGTTGGTATACCTTTATCCTCTTCAATTTTCGGTGGTGGCAAGTCATTTATTAGTTTAAATGTACTATCAGATTTTAATTCTCCTTTTAATTTCTAAATAAAATAAAAAAGATAATTATAGAAATAAAAATATATAACTAAACATTTTATAATTACCTGAACTACACATTTACCATTTGACCTTTTATGTTCTAATATTAGATTTAAAATTAACGGATTGTTACTACTCTGTACACATACATGAGTCTTACATATGTTTTTCAGGTGTTAAATTTGATTAACTTCTGTTACATCTTTGTGTACCACTACCACAAATTGAACATCTTTCGGAACTAAAATCATATTATAGCAAAAATCAGATATTGTTTATGAACAAGTTACCAAGGCATAATATATTATATCATAATACTAATGAGTAACAAAAAATAATAAATTACATTTATCTGACGATGTAATATCCAATAATTCTTTATACACTTTCCTGAAGCCAGTTAAAAGTAAATACATAGACAACGAATCAATCAAAATGACTATTTTTCTGGTTGATTTTTCAACTATACATGAAACAATTTTATACATACTTAAATTTAAAGACGAAATATTAATCAAACAATCATGGTATTGAATATTAGACAAGGAGGGAAATAAAGTTTGATATTGGGACACTAAATTTTTATAACAAAGTACATGGATGTCGTAAGATTTACGATTTGCAGATATAAGATGTAATAGAAACTGTCCTTTGGCTAAAAATGAATCTGCAAAAAAAAACAAAGTTAAAAAACCATTAATAATATAGTAATAAATGATTACATTTTATTTTTACAATGTTATGTAATATATTATTATGTAGGTTTAAGACTATACATATATTCATATATATATATATTATTATGTAGGTTTAAGACCATACATATATTCATATATATATATTATTTAGTAACAAGTGAAATATTCATAAATCAGCAGTTTCATTATAAACTAAAAGACAATTTAGTTAAAAATACAGAAATATTTTTGACATGATAAAAATAACTGATATCAATATTTAATGCGCAAATTAGTTTTTATTATAAATTAAAATTTTCAAACAATTATTATATAAATTAAAACACAATGTCTTATACGGTTACAGCTACATACCAACACCGATTTGACATTTTTAATTATTGTTGGATAAGTACCTATTAATTATTAGTAATATAATTAATTTTGATTTCATTTGCTCATGCCTATGGTAGGAATTATCATTGATTATCAAAAAAAAAATAGCTATATGAAATATACATTGGTACCACATAAATATAGATGTGTACAACGTAGATTCACAGAATTAATTATATAAAAATATATTAATATGTGATATTAGGGTCTAGTATAGTACCTATCACATATTAACTGGTTAGGTTAGGTATATTGTATAATATGTGTAAATTTGAATGGTTTAAATTGAGTAAAATGTCTCACCTTCAATAAGTATTAACCGACTAGCTTGTGTACCTCTTACAACACTATCGTAAACGTTCATCATGTAAGATTCAAACAAATAACAATTGTATTATTGTAACATCACAGCATTTTTTGCCTTATTATCATAAATATAATCAAGGTAATTATAATACATGGTAGTGCCACTTCACTTTTGCGTCGCGGAAGTAATGCGAAAGCAGTTCCCGCGACGGCGTCGGTTCAAACAGGAAAAAAAAAAAAAAAGTGCCACTTCACTATCGAAATCGCGATTGTTATTAACTATCGCAACACTATCTAATGCGCATGACCAGCATAAAGTGGAACCAATGAAATACGAGTAATTTTGTGCGGCAAATTTAAATTATATTTTTTATCTTAATATAATATTTGCATACGGTTCAATGTATCCATAAAATATACTTTACAGGGTCCTTCAGGGGCGTCATTTGGGGGGGTGCAGGGTGTACATTTGCACCAACATTTTTTATAAACGCCTTCTTTGGCCTGCCAACAATAAATATAAGCGCCGATATACCTAAGTGTTATATATTAATATATTATATATATTTTATATTTTTTCAGTATTTAAAAAAAAATAATAAATATTATAGGTACTAATGGGTTTTATTTCCAAAAATGATCGATGTGGTTGTGTGGTTATATCATTGACATAATATAAAATAATAATAATATAATTATGTCTATGGGTTATATATATTTTTTTATTCTCTACCATGATATTATTACCATCGAATATATAATAAATCTGTGGGTATAATATTATGCTGGTATAGATTTCTTATCACGCTTTGGTATCTCCCTACTCGTTATAATAAGAAAACAACATGATATATAATTCCCATTAATAGGGAAAAAGTTGTAGCAACCACAGAATATTATTTGTTTACATTTTTAACCTTGTCACTTACTTTCTATGGTAGAAATGATATTCTATGGTAGAAATTCTACCACCAATTTTAATTAGTACGTCGAGAGTACGATTGTTCTAGTCGTTATAGTCTATAGAGAAAGAAGTGAAATACTTAATAATATATATTATATAATAATAATAAATTAAATTAAAATTTAGTTAAATTAAAATTGATGTGGAAAAATTTAGAAATATGAATTAAGTATATTGTGCCATTTTGAACAAGGTAACCCATAATACAAATTTCAGGTTTAGGCGTTTAGCTATATTATTTATTTTGAGTGTGCAGGGAGAAAAAATGTATAGGTTAGGTTCGATTAAGTACTATTAAGGTGCTTTATATCCATAAATTTGCTTACCAAATACAACTGACATCCATAATATACCTAATATAAACTTATTAAAAGTACCTACACATAGTTCTTCAAAAATAGTAATAATATTGTGAAGTTTTCATACTAATATAAGTGACGTATTAAATACATTTTACAAATATTCTACAGTTTTTGTCCCCACTAGACCCCCCCACTAAAGAAAAAAAAGTTTTCTATGTGGCCTGGTAACAATTTGAATGGCCTGCAAACATTTTCGCACCAACAAAAAAAAAGTTGAAATGACGCCCCTGGGGTCCTTACTCCCTATATATAAACCAGGCACACATCAAGCAAATACAAATATTTATGAGACCTTAAAAAAAACGACGGGGCCCTGGCCGCATTCGCGGTCCAGTGCCCGTGGCCAGGATCCATCTAACTATTTAAGAACAAAATTTACTCATTTTTTTACCCATATACATTTGATTATTATTTTAATGTATTTTTAGTATTTTAATGTATATACCAACCAATGTATTTAGCAATTCATTTAAGCAAGTACATATATTTATACATTATTTTCAAATTGAGAATAAAGTAAATTTATATTATTTATTAATTTATACACAAATCAGTAGGTACAATCATTTTAATTTAGGAAACTAAATAATATAAAATTCAATATTATTTACTTACCAGTTATTCATAACTGTGAAGACTGCAATGTTCCTACAGAAGTGGTATTCAGTTTAGTGAAAACTCGAACATTTATATTTATAAGATACTTAAATGAAGAAATAAAAAACAAAAACTACAAAACTAAGAACAAAAAAAAAATGAAAAAATTGGATAAGTGTACAAACAATAATGTTATATTACCATCAATTAAACAAAACGATACAAATACCAGCACAAGCAGCTCCACGTGGACACAGATTAAAAGATCAAAATGCAAATTGAAAAAAAAAAAGGTGGGTAAGTGGATGTCGCTCTGCTGTACAGTAGGTTACAAGTGGGTCACTGTATAATGGATGGTATTAAATTTGAATTCAATGATATAATATCATTGTATAAGAAAAACGATTCTGAGCGGTGACGGTATGTCAGTCTATGTATAAGACATATTATATACATATCTATGGTATTAAACAAAAAATTGACCTATAATAGGTACCTATAATAAATTCCAAACTAATCATATCACAATATCCATTAGATACTTATAACGCGTTATACATCAACAAAAACCGTGATACTATCATAGATATATAATAGTACACTTTAGAAGTTTCAAGTACCCACGAATAATATTATTCAATCACAACAAAATAACTAAAATCGTAATTCTTGGTTTAAATATGAAATTTTGTCTAAATTTGAAATTAAAATGTCTGTAAAAAATAAGTGTGTTTATACATTTTTTAGATTTTTTGGTTACAGTATGAATTATTTAAGAGAATCTTTGTTTTAAATTTTCAACTCTTAGTTATAAAAACTGAACATTTTATAATTTTTTAATTCCAACGATTGATAATTTTCGATATTTTGATAAATTTTGTAAAAATTCCAACTTTAAATGCCTATAAAAAAAAATCGTGCATATGTATTTTTAATATTTTTCAACTGATATTGTAACAATATATCAGGAGCCTTGTATTAAATTTTTACACTTTTTGGCCCAACAGATAAAACTTTATTGATATTTATAGAAAAAAAAAACTAAAAAAATTGAAAACTGAAAATGTCCATTAACAGCTCAAAAAGAGTCAAAATATTTTCAAAATTGTACGGTGTATAGGAAATGCTAATCTGAACATTCAGTGAAATTTTCATGTATCTATAGTTATTCGTTTTTGAATAACAACAAAATAAGAAAATCGCTACATGACAAATCGAGTGAATATCCAATGTTGTAAAAATTTGAATTTCAAACGCTGATAAAAATTTAATTTGAGTTTTTTATAGAATTTTTTTTTTTGATAAATGTAGGAAATCATATAAGGAATCTGGTATTACATTTTCATATCTTAGATTTAAAAAGAAAAATTTTTATGAATTTCTAACTCGAAATAATTTGCAAATTTTCGTGATTTTTCCATATTTTGTCATTTTTTGAACTTTAAATGCTTAAAAAAAAAAACTGTGACTAACGATTTTTAATATTTTTCATCTGTCTTTGAAACAATATAGTAGGAGCCTTGTATTAAATTTTCAAGTATTTTTACTCAACAAATAAATTTTTATTGATATTCATAAAAAAAAAAACTAATAAAATTGGAAACTGAAAATGTCCCTAAACAGTTCAAAATAAATCAAAATATTTTGAAAATGTTATCGTGTATAGAAAATGCAAATATAAACAACCACTGAAAATTTCATGTATCTACGGTTATTTGTTTTAAAGTTACACCAAAAACCAAAATCGATTTTTTGGAAAACCGATTTTGCGTAAAAATTCCCGTTTTTCCTTAATTTTTATGTTGTTTTTTCCCGGCGCTCTTGAAAACTACTGGGAAATTTAAATTTTGACCTCCCCAATGCACCAACGATATTCACTTTCCAATCGAACATCTTGTTGAGTATCTTACTGAAGTCGAAAATCGAAGCATTATTTCGACTACTTATCGTGTACACAGACACAAAAAAAATGAATAAAAAAATAAAAATAAAAATAAAAAAAAAAATAAAAAAAAAAACACACATCATTGTAAAATCAATACATTCATCGTTTCACTCAGAATCTAAAATTGAAAAAAAAAAAGAAATTACAAGCGATTGAAAGCTTATCAATTATCTGTCTGGGGGGGGGGGTTGGATCTGTAACGGGGAACATGTGAAATAACATATAAATGATACACAGCGTCCCCGTTACATCTTATCAATTTCAATCGCCAATAGCGTTGTACTGGCACAGAACAGTACCGGTATACTGGCTTTTAAGTTAAAGTTATAACGTTTAATATAAAGTTCTTATACTTTTTTGTTCCGAAACAAAATATTCTCTACACTTTATAACAATACATATAAATGAACATAATTGTAATACAATTTTAAAACATGGTTGATATCAAATATTATACTACAATTTTATCTCAAACGTTTTCTCCTTGTGGGAACTATTTGATTACCGGTAATAATTATGGAATTTTAACAGTCTACAAGTAAGTTATACGACTAATTACTAAATGATTAAATAACACTTCTGAATAATATGTCAACACTGGTTTTTATTAATATTTTTATTTTACACTTTTAGTCTAAAAAATGAATTGCAGTCGGGAAACGACTTCAAAGATCAAAATTTGTCAGCTGGCGATAGATCTTATGAATTCGAGATGATACGTAAAATGCAAATAAACAGCATGGAATCTGGCGAAAAATTTTTAATAGTTGGTGGTGTTGGACTCATTGTAGGAGTGGATTGGGATACCATTATTGACAATAATTTTGGCGAAAACTCAAAAGTCGAACCCCTCAGTATTAGTTGGAGTATTAATATTCCATCACCCAAGTAAAGATAACAGATAAATAATATTTAGTTCTGTTTAGATCATAGCCATATAATGTGTTCTATGTCGTAGCTTATACTATAAACATTTAAGAACTGTTTAAACTATTTTGGTATCTACATTGATTATAAATACTAGTATTCCACCATACATTAGCTTTGATTTTAACTATTTAAATATATATTAATTTTAATTATTGAAACTTTTAGGGATTCAATGTTAACTATAGATGTAAATTGTTTAATATTAAACAAAGAGGATAATGTCTTATATGCAGGTTGTGGAGACAATACTGTTTATGCCTTTAACTTAGAATGTGGTGATGTTGTGCAGAAATTTGAAGGGCACAGTGATTTTATTCATTCCATTGATAAATTGTAATACAAATGATCATATTATTATTATTTTATTTTATGCATGTAATATATATTTATAACATATAATTCTAGAGATGATACAATTGTCTCAGCTAGTGAAGATGGATCTGTCTTGTTTTGGGATGTTCGTTCTAAAGATTATTCATCAAAAATCATTCCCAGCAGTAATCCAGAAATCAAACGACCCAATCTTGGAAATTGGGTTGGATCTGTTACAATCACTAAAGATTGGATGGTAAAATATCAATATTTATATATTTTATACTTTCTTATAACTTAATTTGTATTTAATTAGCTATGTGGTGGTGGAACAAAACTGTCATTATGGAATCGTTCTATGGCTGCTCCAATGACAGTGTACAATTGTGTTGAAGATTCCGGAATACATGTTACTAAACTTATGGATGAAACATTATATGCCGGAGGATGCTCAAAATATTTTTATCAGTTATCATTTACGGATGAAATTTTGTGTAAAATTGAAACCAGTCCAGTGACTGTTTTCAGTTGTGTTAACCAAGAAAATCCGTTCAAAGTGAGTTTTTGTTTTTTTAAATGATTATTATTTTGTTAGGACTTAAAACAATACAATTGAGAGCAGTAGGTGCTCCTAAACCACAGATTTTAAATACTATACTCCGGCTCACGAGAGAACATAACCATGTCCCGACCAAAACGCATCTGATTCTGCAAACCCCCACTCAATGACAATGGTTCATTAATGTTTGGTACTTTTGGCAAAACTCAACGCTATAATTTATAAATATATACAACCTATACAGTCGAGGCTCAAAGTGGAGGAAATTGTGCATCGGACTGGTCACTGCCGCCAGTCTGCGTGCGTGAAACGGTAATGTTCCCTTGTGGGCCGGAGTATAGAATACTAAATACTAGTATTTATAATCATTTCTACAGTTTACAAGTTAATATTTTAATAAATGTTTAGATCTATCATTACTTAATATAATATTTTAAAGAAGAAAAATAACAAGAATAATAATCTAACCTATTCTACAGCATGCATAATAGTATAAGTCAAATATTAAAAAGTACATACATATTGAAACTATAAAATGTTATGCTGTTTAGATGGTAAATAAATCATTTAACAACTTATTTCAAACTATCCGAATTAAAGATGCTGCACATTCAAATCAAATGTAAAATTCAATACACTATAAATAAATATTCAATTTATACTTTAAAACAAATATAATACTATAGGTACTAATTAAATTTTAAAAATGTACCAACATTCCTAAAAGTATTCATGTTTTATTATCAATCAACTTTTATATTGAAACTTTTATTTTTGTTTATTGTTTCAGGTAACATGTCTTGCAGGTTCAAGCTATAAAATAGATATTTGTACCAATTTAAATTACAAAATGACTACGCTTGGAATCTAGATTAAGTATTATGTTTATTTCTGAAGTACTAAATTCTGGAAAAAATATTGAAGTGTAAAAGATTTTTTTCCACATTATAACAATCATAAGTAGGTACTTACTGTTTGCGCTCTTGTATGTATCTACTTACTCAATATATTTAAGTAAAAATAGATAAAATATACAATATCCTTGGTATATGTCAATTTTTGTGAATATATTAATTTGTATATAATATGTATGCCATAGTACATTAAAATGTATTTGATTTATTATTTCAATTGTACTTTTTTCACCAAAAAAATCAACAATTAATTAAATTTATTTATTGTAACAATATTAGATAGGTAATTGACTATAAATTGTGAATAAATATTATATTATATTATATTCCTCTACTAAATATTGCACATAAATTAAAAAATTCTGATTAAACATTTATGATATACAAACGAAATAGGTACCTAAACCCTATAATACCAATTACCAAATGAGTTACTAATTATTTTAAACTATTTAATTTGAAATGTGTTAAGTACATTTTATATATTTTATTTATACATATTAGTTATATACATAATCTTAAAATTATAAAAATATTCAATGATACAATATAACAATATTAAATATCATAAAAATTCAAATATTCTAAAAGACAATAATGATAAAGCAGAACAATTATTTGTGACCATATTTTAACCTAATCCAAAAATTAAGATATCTTTGGTCATATTATAAAAAAGAGTCCTAATTAAGATAAATAATTTATTTTTAATTCATCACATTATGATTGATAAAAATCCATATAAATTAATTACATTCATAATTTTACATAACATTAGAATACTTAGATGCTTTAGAGTTAGAGGCTTGGATTATATTTTAACAAATAGTATTATAAATAACTTATCCTACTCTTATTTGTCTAATTACATACTACATTAACAGATGTATTCTATACTGTAAATATTAAAAAATAAAATACAATTCTTACAAAAACTAATATTTACAATATTTAAAATGTGGGTTTTTGTTAATATTTAATTAATTTACATTATTTGCTATTCAATGGACAGGACAAATTATAATGATGAGTAATTCATTAATTGATTAAAAATGTATATGTAATGTTTTTCTACAATTCATAGGTATTCTGCAATTACCAGTATCATAGGCATAGGCGCAATTTAGGAGTACTTAGTACTCCCAAATATGTTATTTATTGTTAAAGGTAATTGTTTATATTAATATTAATGCGAAGGTGTGTTCAACTAAGGTGTATGAATAAAGTTGGGTTTGAGGGGCAAAGCTCCCTCACTGTTCACTTTTTAGTCCAACCCCATAAATTTAACCCAAATTGCGCCTATGATCATAGGTATTGTTATATTGTGTGGTAGGTTGGTATTTCTTTATTTACTTACTAAGTAGGTATTACTTTATGCCAAATAAAAATCTGATTAATAATATTCTTAATCCTTATGAACTTCCATAAGGATGAAATTATAGAAACCAAATATACAGATAAAGTATGTAAATTAATAAATTGAATGGAAACCACAATTGTATTTGCCTAATGTTTTGAAATGATTTTAACCAAGTACCTACTCAGTATAGTAATAATATGCTAAATATAGGCGTGACCAGACTTTCATGGCAGTCTAATCCAATCAAACTTGCTTAACATTAGCTCTTTTCCCTTATACCAACTACTAAGAGCACATTAGGCTGGAACTTATGGATCGATGCCCCCAAAATAAGTATTATCCGGATTTTTGAATTTGTGACAATCATTTAAATAGTGTCTATAATTCTGTACTTATAAACCCTTCTTTATGATCAATAGATATGTTATTTAGTATATTATGATAGAGTGCAACCAATATTTTATCTACTAGGTAATTTTTATTATATTCAATTTAATGATTTATGACCATGGTGATATTCAAATTGAATTTATGGCCTATGGCAAGTTACCACTAAAGTGGTATCTTCAAATAGGGAGGCCAGGAAGCTTTTTTTAAATGTTAGTATTATAATATATCTTATTATCTTATGTCCGTATGTATGGATTTGTGTGCCACATACAGCATGTTAAACTATGCCCGTTAAAATTGTCTACCTATTCATAACCTCTTTAAAGAGTTAAACAGTGGCGGATCCAGGGGGGAGGCAAAGGTAGCATTTTCCCAATCACCGTTGTTTCCCTATTTTTACACTGTGTTAACCTATTTTTGTACGTTTTGTACTTACCCCCCCCCCCACCACAGAAAAAAAAAATTGGTCTAGAGGCGACCACGGCTCCCACTGGAGTCACATGATGTTAATATATGTAATATTTAGACGGAATTTTAAAAGGCTTTGTGGAACTAGCAGGTCACATATTATATTGTGCGTGTGGATTTATTGTCTGAAAATAACTACCTATATTATAATATATTTATTATTTACCTATTTAAAGCTTTGCTATAGTAGGTATATAATATTATGATATCGTTCATACGACCACCCTGTATACAATCCGTGCCGATGCGAATCACTAAATATGTGAACTGAATCGTATTACAATAGTAAATAAGTAATAACATTATGTCATTACACTGTATAATGATTATTATTTTATTGCTTACATGTGACACCCATGCACGTACGACACGTTCCGCACGATGGCCGCGGCCGTGGTTAGAAAGTTCCACCTAGCGCCGTTGGCCACCCCCGGGTACGGCGCGCCGATGAACGCTGCTGCAGCCGCTGCCGCCGTCGACGACGTCAACGGTGCAGCTGCCGACGCCTCGGCGGCCGCCTGCATGTCCGAGTCCGCCGACGACGGTGCGTACACTCTGTGCTCGGTCTGTCGGCCGTGGTGCGGTTCCGCCGAGTGCAGCCTGTGCTGCTGGTGCTGTTGTTTGTGGTGCTGTCCATACTCGGCGGCGGCTGCGGACGTTTCCGACTGCGGCTCAACCGACTGTTGGCGCAGCTGATCGAGGCGCAACTGGTTCTGACGCTTCCACTTCGTTCTATACCAACACACACACACGACGGGTCCGACAGAACACGACGTCGTATAAAATATGTTAAAAATTGTTATTTTAGGTATATAAAAGTGTGTTACACGTTCAGTTATATGTGCCCGATGCGCAAACTGCAGGCTTTTACCCGGTCATATTATGCGCATATAGCAGGATTTATTTATTTATTTATTTTTGAGGGGGGGGGGGGGGCGTACCTATTATGAAATCCCTTGTAATACGCTTAACTCTTTGAGGGGCGAAAATTTCCTTTAGAAAAAAGACCCATGTGGGCAATATGTCTCTTTACCATAACATTTAGTACGTATATCAAAATATCGATAATGATAATAAATGATGAAAAACGCGAGAAATGATATCAGACCAGCGGCAGTGATATTGTTTGATGCATGTATAAGATGATAATAAGGTGATTGGTATGCTGACCATCATCAAAAAAATATTAAAAATAATTTTAAAAGTGGTTAAAATAGTAACCACCGCACCTGAACGGTAAAAAAAAAGTGGTTAGCATACTAACCACGGCCCCTCAAAGAGTTAATATTGATTAAAAGTAACGCGAGAAGTAGCCCTCAGAATCTAAAATAAATATATACATATTCAGATTCTACTAATTTATTATAATACGATTTACGATAAAACATAATAAAATTTAAAATTATGATGATAATATAAAAATAGGTATAATTATTTATTAGTTTATTACCTAGGTAGTAGGTACCTATTATTTATTACTGTTCTAGTTCTTACAGTATATACCCTGTTCAAAATACATGTTTTTATAAAAATCATGTTGTGCAATTTTTTTTGTCGTTTTTATTTTATTTCTGTGGAAACCTAAACCTGTGGAAATATAGTCTCGAATTTTCGATTATTATATAATTTATAATATAATATTACCTACAATATTATCATTTCATTGTAATTATAACTTATAAATATACATTTTTAAGTTTTGAGCTATTTTACATTCATGAGTTATAAAAATATAACCCACCCTCCCGGGGAAAGAACTTGTATACACGCCAAACTCGCCGTTGCATGGTAGGTACAATTTACATGTGTGTAAAAATTACATAACGTCAAATCCCGTCTATATAATATATAGAGACAAGAGACCGTGTATTAACATAATATTATATTTAACGATTTACAAACCTTCGATTTTGGTACCACGTTTTGACTTGAGTTTCTGACAAGTTCAACGCCTCGGCCACGTCGCTCCGATCGGCTACAGACAAATACTTCTGGGAACGAAACTTGCGTTCGAGATAAGCCAGTTGAGCGTGCGTGAACGCTGTCCTCCTGCGTCTGACCTTCCGGCCGCACGACTTCCCGGTCATCATGTCTTGGTGCTGTTGGTAGTGATGGTGGTGGTGGTGTTTTTGCACCAACAATGGGAGCGCGGAAAAATTGCTGACCGCCAGTGCACGGTCATCCATGTCGGTGGTGCCTTCGTCGCTGGACATATCTTACAATAGGCAAAAAATTGCTTTTTTATACTTGAGTGTTTTTGGCAATTTAATTTATTACTAAGGTACTAGGTAGGTACATTTTTATGCCGATGGTCTAAGTGTTTAACGACCCAATAGAAAAATATGGAAATTTGGTAGGTCACCCTTAGCTGAATAATCATTATTGAACATATTATTATACCTATAGTATGTAAGGGACATATTTTATATTTTTAGTGCATTTACACAACTATATTTGGTTGACATAGCCCTTGAAGAATTAAACGATATAATACTGAGTAGTTCCAACCTAAAAATAGCTAAATATAAAATTATATTAGGTGATTTTAACATTGACATACTAAAACCTTCAAAAACAAAAGAAGATTATCTCATGTTAATGGCCCAGTTCGGATTTATACCTGTAATTAAAAACATAACAAGACCTGCGTCTAATACTTGTATTGATCATATTTTTGTTAAAACAAAGTCTTTAGATCACATAAAGCCGATAGTTATTAAATCCAATATAACAGATCATTACCCAAACATAATTAGTATAGGGAACATACTAGACAACCGACATAATAAACCGAATCCCTTAAAAATACTTATAACAGATGAAGCCAAGTTAACTGACCTGATTCAAAATTTCGAGTGGTCTGAAATGTATGACATTATCGATACTAACAGTGCAGCACATTATTTTACTGAAAAAATAACTAGTCTTAAAAAACAGGCTTCTTCCGAAATATCTTTCAATTCTAAAACTAAAAAAATTAAACCATGGGCCACCACCGCATTAATTAATTCCATAAGGCATAGAGACCACCTTCACCTTCAAGTTAGGAAATATCCTTTAAATCTAAAACTAAAAGACTTTTACCTTAAATTCAGAAACAAATTAACGTATTTAATAAAAGAAACAAAAACTAAATACTACAAAAAAGAAATAAAAAAATCTGGGAACAATACCAAACATAAATGGCAATTAATCAACGATATCATATCCAGAAACAATAAATCAATTAATCTTAATGAATTACTAAATAATATAAAAGCTAATACTGAACCTAATGACAGAGAACCAGCTTCAATCTTAGCCGATAATTTTAATGACTATTTTATAAATGTGGCAAATGATCTAGTAACACAACTAAATAACGATTCTAACGTAAATAATTTGTCTAACATCTATCGATCTAACAATACAATTATGCCAAATAATTCCCCCTTAAATAAATTTGAGCTGATAACACATGAAGATATACTAAAAGCAACCTCTAAATTAAAAAATGGTGCATCGCACGGTATCGACAACATATCCTCTAATCTTCTAAAAAAATATATTAATTTTCTTGTTAAACCTCTCACTCATCTTTTTAATCTATGTATAACCCAAAATAAAATTCCAGATGTTTTTAAAGTAGCAATCATAACACCCATTTACAAGAAAGGTCTAACTTCACTCATTAGTAATTTTCGGCCAATATCTGTAATATCAAATGTAGCAAAAATATTTGAAAAAATTTTAAAAGCAAGATTAGTACACTACTTAGAATCGAATAACCTACTATTTGAACACCAATATGGTTTTAGACCAGATAAAAGCACTGATCAAGCCATAGCTAATGTAACCAAAATGATCTATAGTACACTGGAAGAAGGAAAAAAATGCGCAACTATTTATCTTGACCTGGCGAAAGCCTTCGATACTGTAGACCATGTAAAGCTTCTAAAAAAAATGCACGACATAGGTATTACTGGTTCGGCTCACTCACTATTCGAATCATATTTGGAAAAAAGGAAACAGAGGGTTAAAATAAATGATACCATCTCTAGTGAACAAACTATTATATGTGGTGTTCCTCAGGGTACAACACCTTCTCCTGTACTCTTCAATATTCAGCTAAATGATATAAAACTTCTGAACTTAAATAGCAATATTATTTGTTACGCTGACGATACGGTATTGATTTGTAATGGTTTAACCTGGGAAGAAGTCTTCGCTAATATTGAGGCTGATTTACTGTCAATTAAAATCTGGCTAAAGAAAAACAACCTATTTCTTAATCTAGATAAATCAGCCATACTACTTCACTCCCTATCTGAATGTACCCTACCTACCATAAATGAACTAAAAATCCATGAATGTAAAACTTTTTTATTAAATCACTGCCAGTGTAAATCGGTTTCTATTGTCAAAAATTACAAATACTTAGGTATCGAAATGTGTCATGATATGAAATGGAAAAAACAAATTATTAATACTACCAATAAGTTGAGAAAGATGATTTTCATCATGAAATCTCTACGTGAAGTACTAGATTATAAAGACATAAAACTTATATACTTAACTCTCTTTGAACCTATAATCGCATATGGCATAATTGGTTGGGGTAGTGCCTATGATAATGTGCTATCACGACTTCAAAAATGCCAAAATACTATTATTAAAGTGGCTTGTAACAAAAAATGGAGATATCCTACAAAACAATTATATGAAGAATTTAATGTACTTAATATAAATAAGCTATATATAAAAACCTGTACCATTTTCCTAAAAAAACATAACATGTTATCCCCTGTAAATCACAAAGTTAACACTAGATATGCTACTAATAATTATTCGCTAAAATTTTCAAAAAAAGCTGGATGTCGTAAAGTGTATGATTTTGTTGGGACACATATACATAATATAATGCCCAAAGAAGTGGCTGATATGTCTCTTTCTATTTTCAAAAAATACATTACCCATTGGCTTCACCATGAATACGATGCTACAATATTGAAGTTTCAGGATTAATTTGTATTTTTTTTTTCTTTTTATTTTTACACTACCATTGTCTGCCTTTCTTTTTAATTTTTTTTTCTTTGCTCATAAAACTTTTTTTATATTATCTGTTCAAACATATATTACTGTTCTTGTGTTATTTTTTGTTTTTTACCATGTATTTGAGTAGCTATTTAAGGAGAAAATGATAAATGTAAATTTGTTGTATACAAGATATCTCCTAGGCCTCCACACGAGTTTTACTCAGTGAGGCCTAGTAATCTTTACCGATATTAAAATAAATAAAATAAAAAATAAATAAAATAAAAAAATATTATTATTTACCATATTGTATAAAAATCATTGTATCTATTATTTATTAAGATATAATATTATTTTATGTGTTTATACCTACTGTATGATGAATGTTATTCTAGACATTTTAAATATTTTTTTTTTGTACCCTTTATAATAAGAGCCATTGGCGTCCCACGTACCTACCACGCGTGCCTAAATTATGACAAATTTGAAATTTTAACGGCATTAATAACTATAGGTGTAAGGGATCCATTATTATCATGGTTTTCTTCATATTTAAGTGATCGTTCTAAACTATTCAATAATTCATTTTTAAAAACTATCAAGGTCGTGGCAAGTGTTCCGAAATACCATAGTTTATACCCATTACTTTTTATTTTGATTATAAATGTGACATAAATAAATGTTTTAAAACTATTTGTGATATATAAAAATATTCATTCCCTGCAACATTATTTGGATCAATTTTCTATAAGTTGCTTATTAAATGCCATATATCTTTGAATACCTCTAAATGTGTTTGTATTTCATTTAACAGTTCTAAATCTCATACCTATTAATACAATTCTCAATATTTTATTAATTTTATATCTCTTAACTATGTTTATCAAGTTCGGGATCTAGCCATCTAGGTATCATCCTGTCAGCCGATTTATCTTTTAATGACTATTGTCCATATTAATTTAATTTATGGGGAAAATCTACGTATGTCTTAGGGTTCATTAAACGCACCTGCTCTGATTTTAATGATATTTTATGTATTAAAGTACCTATTGTATTGTTCGCTGGTAAGATCATTACCTGAACATGGTATACCGGTATACGGTATTATGGAATCCTAATTAATCAGGGTTAATTAAAAAAATAGAGAATATCCAAAAATGATTTTTACGTTTTTATGCTTATAAAACTAAATATCCTTATCATAATATTGAAGAAATTTCTAACTTTGTGGGTTTAAATTCTGTGGTTTAAAGTCACTAAAATCTAGACGGTTAGTATAATATATGATGTAACTTTTATGTATTAAATCTTGAATGGTGTTATTGACTGTCCTGAATTAATTGTTACGAAAAATTGGCCTTAATAAGTAAGCTCTTTTAACTCCAGAATTAATTCACATTTATCTAACATCATTCTAAAAATAATTACTTAATAAAAAGTCGGGTGTGTCCGTGATCAAATTGATAATTTTTTTTTCTATCCCTGTTCTAAGCTAAAAATTTGATGTATAATTTGTATTCGATATGTATTCAGTTATTCTCTTTAAATGTTTTTTTAACGATAATTTTGTTTTTCACTTACTGTACTCGTACTCTTACCCTTTGGGATGTTATATATTATTTTTAATTGAACTTAAGCCCGGTGACTATGGCCATTAGCTGTTGTAGGGGTTATGAACTGTGATTAGTACGGTAAGGTGTTATATATTTAATTAATATCTATTATTATATTTAAATATGTTGAAACGATTAAAGACATTGAAAAAAATAAAATTTATAAATTTATCGCTCACGGTATAGTAATAATAGATATTGAATTCAAGTTAATTAGTTTCAGCCAAAAAAAAAAGTTAAATCATCTTTATTTTACTAATATTTATTCTAATGGAAAAATTAATTATAATATTTAATATTATATTATGTATAGCAATATTTTATATACCTAGTACACATTACAGGGGTAATAGATTATAGTCTATAATAGAGTACACTGTAGACAATAACGTATTATATGTCGTAATATATGTTAATTTTATAGGTACATGTTACAAAATACAATAAGTGTCTCCGTGTCTGACTGACAACTGTTCAATTATGCAAAATTATAATAAAGTAGGTATAGTAATATACTAATATACTAAATAGACCTATAACCCTACGCATTAACAACTAATTTTGTATTTTTGTAGGATTAGAAAAAC